CCCCCCCCCCAAAAAAAAAAAAAGGATGGGCCCCGATCTTGTAATCCCGATAGCGGGATTTCGGGGTGTTTTTCACAGCCAAGGTGCGAAAAGGGTGCAGCGCCCGCAGGCTGGCATGTGGCGGAAAAGGAGAGCGTCATCACAACGCACAAGCGCCAAGGTCGCGCGCACGCCCATGCTGCCCGGCCCTGCCCCACTCCCGGATTAGACATATCAAGATTTGAGATGCATGCCACTGCCAGGATTTGAACCTGGGCAGCTGCCAGCCATGCGTGTGCGTGGCTGGTGCCTTAACACACTGGCCAAACTCTGTTCATGGCCTAGTAGCGCGGCAGGTTGGTGTTGAAGAGTGCCACACCAGCTATTCCTCCCCCCGGCCACTCCCCTCGTCGGCAGGCGGCAAGCATTGGCCAACACAACACCAGCAGGTGGGCTGCTCCCCCCCGGCCAGCGTCATGGCTGGTGCTGCCTGCGCACGTGGCAGCTTGCTGAAGATCTTGAAGACCCCCCTGGCTAGGGGGCTGCACTACAGTGAGATCTGGGTGGCTGATCAAGATCTCAACACACCGAAAGGATGATGATGATGATGATTATTTTTCCTATTGCTGCAGTGGTAGTTTGGCAACAGTGAAGACCCCCCTGGCGAGGGGCCTGCGCAACAGTGCCATCAGGGTGGCTGATCAAGATCTCAACACACCGAAAGGATGATGATGATGATGATTATTTTTCCTATTGCTGCAGTGGTAGTTTGGCAACAGTGAAGACCCCCCTGGCGAGGGGCCTGCGCAACAGTGCCATCAGGGTGGCTGATCAAGATCTCAGCTAACCCTATATTATTTTATTATTATTATTCTGCTGCAGCACCAGACTGCCAGCAACTTGAAGTCCAAGATCCTGTGGATCTTGGTGATCTTGTTGCTCTTGGCCAACCAAGAGTTTGGTATCACCTCTCTTCCACTAGCCTACTCTCCCACCCCCCCCTCTCTCTCGCTCCCCTACACCATCTCATCGTCTTTTCTAAGCCTACCACTGCTCCCTCCTACCTCCCTCTTCACTCATTTTCCACCATTTTTTTTCTCTCCTCCCGTCCCCACTCACCATCTTCTACTAACCTCTTCTACTCCTCTGCACCTTTTCTATATCTTTCTCTCTCATTCTACCACCCTCCTCTCCTCCTTCCCTCCCCCAACTACAACCCCATCATCTCCCCCATCTCCCACTTCACTCTTTTTCTCTTTCTCACTTATTTCTCTCTTTCTTCATCACTTTTTCATCCCCCTCCCCACCCCGCCCCCCCAAATTACTGCTGCATAGTTTTTACTGCATTTCAAGGAATGGAGAATGTAGAAGCTCCTTTTACCATTTCTGATGGGATATATGGCTCTACATTCTTTCTAGCTACTGGATTCCATGGCTTTCA